ATATCGCCAAGAGAACGCTGAGCCTTGACTTTACGTTTCTTACTTACGAAAGTGGAGACTCGTATAGCAGCCTACAGTATATCTTTTTAAAGTTTCTAAATCTTTCATCGCCTAATATTATTCCCGATGTAGCGATTGTAGGTGTGTAGATAAGATTCTGAGGTTTATATCGGATTCAGTGAAGGTAGAAGCAGATGATGGGGTTATAGTAGATCTATATTCTGAAATATTCATATCAGACGTACTTGGAGAAGTAAGGTCGTGATAGGGGCTAGTGTTAGATGTAACGGAATATTAATTACTGAAAGCTGGGGATGTTTGTGGGGGAGAGACTGTAAATATTATTACTTGGAGAAAAAGGCTTTTAATTTTTTTGGTGCGTCATTAATATCGATATGCTCAATTTTAAAAAATTTTGCAAGGTCTTGCCATGCGTCATTTTTTTGGTTTTTGAATAATACACACAATATTTTAAACCTCATTTTTGTTTTCTAAAAAAGTTTTTGTATTCTTGCACTAACAATAACGAAGATTTGTTGGTCCACTCCATCATTTTATTGAATAAAACGAAAAAAAAAATCACACAAGCACGCATACAAAACAAATTACCGGTGCAAACTGCGCGTTCGCGTACACATAAAATCCCTTTGAGCACAGAACAAAAACCGACACCAGACGGCTCGCGTTCGCGACTGCTCGCGCACAGACAGATTCAGAGTAAGCGTGCGCGCACAGCTGTTTACACTTGAGCATTCGCTAAGGACCAGTGCGTGCGTGCTCAAGTCTAAATAAGTACGACACTCATAAAAGGACTCACGTCTAAATAAGCGAGTACACTCAAGTACGCGATGAAGAGGTTCTTGGGAGGCTTAACAAGGAAAGGGAATTACTTGCAAATATAAAAAAACGAAAGACAGCAAACCTGGGCCATGTCATGCGCAATAGCAGAGCAAAGTTTCTGAAGTTGATTATAGAAGGAAAGGTAGAAGGCAGAAGAGAACGGGGGAGATGCAAGCACTCTTGGTTGAAAAACTTACGAGACTGGACTGGACTGAACTCACACGATCTGTTTCGAGCTGCACAGGACAGCTAGTGTTTCGCCGCGATTGTTGCCAACGATGGTGAAAGAAGATGGTACTATCAGAAGAACTCTACTATACCATTTTTATGCATCCAGATTTGACACTTAATAGAATAAACAAAAAATAACTTGCTGACATATAAAGTCTCAATTGGATTTCCAAGGCAGACTTGATTTTAGGCGAATTTTGAAAAAATCTATTTTTTTAGTGAATTTACATAATAATGAATAAAAATTAGATACCACCGTGTAGACTATTTTTCGCTCTATCTAACAGTATAAAAATTTAAAATGGCGGCCATAAGAAAACAAAAACTTGACTGTTGTTGTGCGAAATCTAGAGGGCTTAAACATTTTCTGAAAACGGCATCTAATTGGCCGATGTCAAAAATATAAAACTACCAACTTACGTTCCAATAGATACAATAGTTCTGAAGATGAGTTCTGATTCATTTAATATAAACGTATTATTTTCATTTTTTTGACATAAATCCGAAACTGATCAAGATACCTTGGTTTCCTTCATAAGTGTTTGTCAAACTTCTAATTACGCAACTTTTGTCCCATTTAACCGAATCCGTATCTCGTAGTTTCTGAGATGCCAATGTTGGGCATCGAAATTGTCACCACCCTGTATAGATATCATTACTTGGCCCGCGTACTTTTCTTTATTTTTAATGGCGCTTACTGAAGTTGGACTTACTGTTGTACTTTATTTTAATAATGACTTAAACTGACTTTTAAATTACGTTTAACTTTAAATGATATATATTTTTTGGAAATAAATTTGTTTGTCGGGAAACTGTTCTATTCTTATTTAATCTTTCCACAATTAGTGTTAATACTGACAAATTTTATGTCAATTTTTAGTAAATGACGTTTAGAGATTGACCTCACCTAAATTATCATCGATTGTTATTCCCCACCAGTCTTTAACACGATTTCTTTTTTCGATCATATGGTACATTATTTTTTCAATAACTTTTTTCAATAAGTCTTTAACACGATTTCTTTTTTCGAACATATGGTACATTATTTTTTCAATAACTGGGTCAGAAAAAAAATCTTTTTTTGGGGAACTTCTTAGCAAATCCTGTATATTCCAATTAGTTTAGTAATATTTTATATCCATTATTTATGTATAAACCAATATCAAATCAAGTAAGTATAACTAATATCAATACATTTCTAAACTAAATTGTGTTAATTACTCATATCTTATAAATATTTAACATATCGTCATTCTTCCGTGAGACAAGCAGGCTGCGCCTCTTACTTTGACTCATAACAAATAAGTTTGTGACATTAGTATCTGTTCTTCTCAGAATAAAACGAAATACCAATACCACAAATTTACGCAATTTATGTTAACAGGTTTGTGTTCTACGAATAAAAAGTTAACAGTATTAAATGCATCACTTTCCGCAACTGGAAATGCTCTTCTAAGCGGGGTTAAATAAGCGCGGTTAATTACTTATAAAATACTAGAATACTATAAAGTATACCTGTACTATTGGTACATATATATGGTGCCTCAATTTTCCGTGGATATAGAACTATTACGTATTTTGGAATCAAAATAAGTTCATTCAACACAATTTACCTCTATACAAAAGTACTTCGTTTGTCCATTAGAGGTCATCAAACTTTTAAAAAATAAATACATTTTTTTCAGATATTTTAAGAACTGTTATTCCGATTTGTATGAGATTTTGGATGTCTTTGTTAAAGTCAAAAATATTAAAGCACTTAGCAAAACATAGACACCCAAGATATAATTCAAATCGGAATAACGGTTCTTAAAATATCTTAAAAAAAATACGTTTATTTTTTAAAAAAGTTCCTGACTTTAAACACCGATCATATGATTTGAGATTTTCTTACAAGACTGGAAAAAATTTGGGGCGGTTGGACCCCTAATAAAGATGTGAGCAAAAAAGTCAAAATTTAATTCCCCCTCGAATTCTATATGTATTTGAGGTGTTTTATTAGTACCGTATGATCGAGAAAAAACGGCGTCAGCGATGGCTATGAAATGAAGGTCGCTGTCATTTTATATGTAAATTTATATGGGAAATGTCATCGATCGTCATTTCCTAGCCAACTGGACGCCGTTTTTTTTTTCGATCACACGGTATTTTCTCTTTAAGAGAATACTATTAAGAGTATACAGTATACAACACAACCAGATATTGCTACTTTTTAAATTTTCAACATTGTCTATTAGACATTATAACTAAATAATATACTGCTCAACAGGAGAGAATACAGGAATTTATTTTAGGGGGGGGGCAAATAAAAGTGATGTAGAATATGATTTTTAGAGCGCTATATTTAACCCAAAAGGCTAATATATTTAACCCAATTTACAGATTTTAGAGGGGGCCCGGACCCCATGGGCCTTCCCTCTCTATCCGCCACTGCTACCTAATTCAACAATTAAGCTTAAAATATCAAGTATTAACATCCCTTGCAAATACGCTCAGATGCAAAAAAAACGCAACGGAGAAATTTTTAGTCAAATTTAAAGTGTTATATTTTTGTTATTTTTAGCTCTATTTTCATGAATTTTTTAGCAAACTGTACATAATTATATCAACTTTAATTCGTAAACTAAGTTTTTATATAAACTTTAGTATTTGGCATATTATACAGGGTTAATCGAGATGTTGTTTTTTTACCCCAATTTTAAAACACCCTGTGCAATAATTTCGTATGTTAATGTTCCTAAAATATAATTTTCAGGTGAAAACCATGACTCCTGAGCATTTTGTTTTTGATTTATGTCAAAACATGCTTTGGTTAATTTTTAAAAGCGAAATGAACTGATCGCGATCAATTTGCAATTTTTTCATTACATTTTGATGTAATTTTTTAATATGACGAGATGGCTTTGGTGACTATTGTCGTAACGCCATATTACGCTGCATTGGATACGTACTCTATACTGCATTGGGTACATACCCTATACTAAATTAAAAAAAATACTAACGATACATTCCTGGTTTTAATAAATATTAATAACGATAACAGAACCATATTAAAGAAAAGATCTGTAATACTCAACTATACAAACACAAAAAAAAATTATAAAATATACTCTAATACTTTGTGATGCCTCCCTTGGCTGCTATAACTGCCTGAATACGTCCGTTCATACTGTCATTGAGGCTGGATATATCATATTGCGTTATGGGGGGGGGGGGGGGTCTTTTTGAGAACCAAGCGAGGTTCATTTATTGAAGCTGGTAGCGCTTCGCGTCTTCTAACCCTCCTGCCAAGCATTTCTCCAACGTCCAACATGATGGGCAGTTCTTAGTAGTACATAGTTCACAATAATCACCAACGCCGGCTTGTCATATTGAAAAATAACTTTAAAAAGAAATGATATTTGAAAAAATTGCAAATTGGTGGTGGCAAGTTCATTTCGCTCTTAAAAATTAACCAAAGCATGTATTGACATGATCCAAAAAATAAAATGCTCAGGAGACATGGTTCTGACCGTAAAATTATATTTTAGGAAAATTTACACACGAAATGATTGCACAGGGTGTTTTAAAGTTAGGGTAAAAAAACAACCACTCAATTAACCCTGTATAATATGCCAAATACTAAAGTTTATAAAAACTGAGTTTACGAATTGTTACGAGTTGATAATAATATAATTATATACAGCTTGCTAAAAAAATCATGAAAATAGGGCCAAAAATATAACACTTCAAATTTGACTAAAAATTTCTCCGTTGAGTTTTTTGCATCTATATATTGTAACCCACAGTTTATAATTGAAAATAGGGTTAATAACATCTTAAAAAAGGGATTGATAATTTAAATTGTAAAATGTGTTAAAAAAATATGCATTGACGATATAATGATTCGTCACTCATTATCCTATATTACAATAAATATCTTCACTTACCTAGCTATAAAAGCAGCTGCTACTGTCCTAATTTTGGAATGCCGAAGCAATGCTACAAGTGTCAGCAAGTTGCCCAAAACGCCCACTACCATTATGATGATAGTGAAGCTACCCGCCGCGGTCATCATTGGCCGAGAATATCTGCAACACATTTGAAACATGGTCGTGATTAAACTGAATATTTCATAAGAAATAACTACTACAAAGAATTAAAATAAATGCCACTGATCTGGACAAAAGTACAACTCACGTCCTTATCAGTATTAACGCGGTTGAAAACCGCAAATTTGTTGTTCGCCACTAAAAGCACTCATGTTCAAGTATTGAGAAGAGACGTAATAAATAATTAATAAATAAAAATTAAATGCACATATAAGATAATATTTTATTATAAGTGTATACAGGGTGCTACAAATTCGAGGTACGAGCATTGGTATCTCAGTAACCGTAATAGATACGAAAATGGTTAAATTGGGGCAAAGTTGCCACTTTGGGTTGTTCACCAAGATGTCATCAAAAAAGTTTTAAAAATTTCAAGGATTGCTGAGTTTTTTGAAAAAAAACGGATTTTTTTGGAAAATCAATTTTATTTTTTCCTGTCGTTACCTTTCAGAAAATAAAAAAAAATAATTGCACATTCTCATAGCTTTAATCTGATTATATCCATCGCAAGAATATCAATCAGCTCTAATTAATATTCAATAAGGAAAACCGAAAATCGAGCCAATTGAAAGATTCAAATAAGTAATATCCAGGTCAGCAATAATTAAAAGATATTTTTAATTTTTTTATTGTGAATTTGAAATCTCAATGTACGATCTAATATTATGCAGCATATTAATCGTAGTTATTATAAATAAACCAACTTCTCCAAACTAGTTTCTAATGCTCTACATGTTCGAAAAGGCTACCACCCCCCCTATTGCAGACATTTATTTTTCGTTCAACATTATTTATAGCCTTTGAATAGACCTTCTTATACTTCCGAATTCATTTTGTGCTCTTTATTGTAAATGTTGAGATGCACTGATTTCACTTTTACAAATGACGTCAAGTAATGCAATCTCCCCCCACCCCTTCGCGACAGGTCCAGGAACCTCGCTGGCCATTATACTGCTCTACCATTTCCAGTTCATCTTCCGGGGAAATGATTTGATTGTTTATATTATACTTATAGTATTTATTTTATATTATTTTTTATTTTTTTATTGCATTTGATTTTCCGTATTGAATGTTTTTTACCCCACGTCATTGTTAAGTTTGAAAATTGTTGGTTTTGATCAAAATTGTAACGATGAATGGACTAAATATTGAAAAAAAAACAGAGTCGGGCTTGAAGTTAGTTTAAATAAATTGTGTTGAAATGCCGGAAACAAAAAAAAATATTACGTTTGGCATATGCCAAAAGTATTTGGCTATGCCTGAGTACAATGATATCATTATGATTATCTAAAAAGTAACGACAGGAAAAAATAAAATTGATTTTCAGAAAAAAAACTAATAATTCAGCAATCCTTGAAATTTTTAAAACTTTTCTGATGGCATCTTGGTGAACATCCCAAAGGCGCAAATTTGCTCCAATTTAACCATGTTCGTATCTATTACGGTTACTCCCGCTCACCCCGTCTAATGTCGTTTAACTACACTGATCGAGCTAGAACCGTACTATAACTGGGCCGTTGCCTACTACAAGAATTAATAAGAGCAATCCACTAATAAAATTAAATTTAATAATACTATTTATTTTATCACTGATAATGAATTTTCTCACATTAACCTACATATTAAAATGTTAATTAAAATATTAAATATTAATTGAACATAAAATAGTTTGCTTATGATGTTTATATCGATTTCATTTAGTAATATCCTTCGCATTCTACTGCCATACCAGCCTCTCGTTCGCAATTTGACTGCCCGATTCGCTTAATTGTTAATTTCCTGGGTTAACTTCCGTTTATTTGGGTTAACTTCCGTTTATTTAAATACAACCAATTGCATACAGATCCATATTTAAATATCCTTCCATTTACCCATAAAATGTAAAAATAAATCCATTGTATACCAAACCAAACCAGACAATCATGAAGAAAGAACTTATTAAGTTTTCAAATATTACGTTTAAATTTTTCACATATAGCTTTTTCACACATTTTTCACATAAAACAAAAAAGATGTATTTTGAACAATATAAAAATTATATCATAACAGGATTTGTACATAGCCAATTGGTAATACACCACTGGATTCTACATGACAAACTCTATGGGACTCAGTTTTGGCCTTTTCGATAAGTTATAAGATAACCGAGATACATAGAGGGCCAAAAAACGCCAAATTTTCAAATTCGCGCTGTATTTCAAGAACTAAGTGGTCTAGGACAAATCTATATGTAGTACCGTAAAATGGGGTGAATAGAAACATAGTGGTGAATAGAAACAAAATTTCTGAAAAAAATCAAATCACGATTAAAAATATTCAAAGTAAAAAAAGTCGACATATCTAATTTTTCTATCATTGGTTATACACAATAAAATGTAAAAACTCTATTTTTATCTGTGGCAGCACTGTTTCTGTCAATCAGCTGATCAATAAATGTGAGATCGATTTATCACCTATTTTGTATGGCGCGAAAACTTTATAAATAAAATATTTATTTTTAAAGTAATACATAAGCTGGTACATGTAAGTTGTCATATTATATGTATTGCTAATTATTGTTAAACCTACTTAAATATGTAATAATTTACTGTTTCTAATCACCTTGTTGGAAATAGAATAGATAAAAACATTAACATCAATGTGTGTTTCTATTCTCCCGAATAGCAGGTGAATAGAAACACAAATGTTATTTTTATTTAATATTTATATGCATATTTTTCAAAAATCAAATTATATGTATACGCAAAGAACAAACAAAGACCCATGTTTTAAAATATTCGGGAAAATAATACCACATTTTTATCAACCGGTATATCGCTAATAGCCTACGAAACTGTTTCTATTCACCCCATTTTACGGTATTCATTTTTAATTTCATAACAAAGTAGTACATTAATGTAAAAACCCCATATCTCTACTCAATTTCTTCTAGGAGATGCGAGACCTTGTCGTTGGTGGGGAAGCTCCTTGTCAGGTGCTAGGGGGAATCCTGTCGAGCACTTTGGCTGGGTCTAAGGAGCATGTCATTGTCTTGTCAATGACTGTAGTGTCGTGGCCAGAGAAGTACACCAAGACGTATAAGGATGCCTGATGGGACTACCCTGTCCGTTATACCAGGCACCCTCTACTGTCTGTGATCATGTGTCAAGGGCAGAGGGTGTGGTTAGGTTAGGTATAGAAGACTAGCCTCTACTGGCCTCCAGCTTGTGGCACCAGGGGGCAACCTAATGTATTCTCGTCTCCCTTTCTTCTACATGCGGGGCTCTGTAGCAGTGGACCAACTAGCCCTGGCGTTGTATCACCAGCTTTGCCAGAATACGAATGGTAATGCCATCAAGTTGGCGAGTCATCAATACAAGGGATGAGGACCATGGTCAGGTCCTCACAATCAAAAAAAACTCAAATCCAAGGAGGCAATAGAGAAAGGGACCGGGTCAACACCGGGTCTAAGGAAATACCAAGTTAAAGAGTTGGGGAAAATGGATAGATCCTCCAGCCTCCACCTCAAGGGTACCTGAGCCGGAGAAAAGCTCCTCGACTGTAAAGGGCATGGGGGGCTAATCTCCAACCGTGGAAAGGTGTATGAACAGTTGTTGTCAGAGGAAAATGGGAAATACCCTCTCCCCCCTACAACAGGAAGATCCCCATGTACGATGAGTTATAGACTGTATGATGAGTTATAACTCAAGAAAGGGTATAACACAATAGATCTTTAAGGTCGCGGTGATCACACAAAACATCTACTACTCACATCTTTCACACAAAACATATAAATTTTAGCGAATATCGGGGAATGACGTTTCTTCGACATTTTTAAATTTTATGTGGAAAGTTGGCTTTAAAATACTTACAATCATTTGCTGGTTTATTTTTTAGCTTCATTTCGATATTTTAAATAGATATACCTCTGTTGTTGTTGGGATTCTTTCTTTCTCCGTTTTTTAACCCCTTATTCAACATGTCAAATAAAATGTACTAAAAAATTGGTATGCCTTTTTCAATTTCAGTAGGTATAAAACAAGTGCGGTAGTAGGAATATTAAAAAGTAAGTAACAGGAATATAGGAAGTGTAGTATGATTTAAGCCTAGTATGCCAAAAAATCTTAACCAAAAATACAAATAATAATGTTAATGTGATATATTTTCAAGCGCGTGCACTATGTGTAATTTATGTAGACACGCCAGTTATGCACGAATAATTAATCAACCTTTTTATCAAATAATTTACCGTAAATAAAATTTAGAGCTATTGTATTCATGGCTCTAAATTAAATAATAATTCATGCGGGTTCCACTAAACCGGGAAAAATATGCTCTATATAAGGGTAAATTCTCCCCAACTAGAGAGATTTTTTATTCCCCTTAATAGGACACATAGACTCTAATTACTAAATAATTTAGGCCATTAAAATATAATATTTAAAAAAAACAACTATGTTAGACATCAGTTTTTAGCGGCCAACAATTACTTTTAATTACGTTTTATATTTAAAAAATCAGAGGCATTTTTATAAGGTGTAAGACTATTCGGAAATATTCCGCATGGAAATTAGTATCCGTTCAGTGCTTAAAGTCTCCAGCTTTGGAATATGTACAAAAATCTTGCCAATATTTGCCACTGCCAAAAAAAACATTGATTTAAATAGATTCTTAAACGAAATTGTCTTTACCCTATAACACCCATCCTCGCTCAAATATCGTCTATAATATACAAATTACTTTCTTGTTCTAGCATCCTCATCCAATTGCTTGGTTTTGCACAGAATGGCCCTATTTGATCGGTGGAAAGAGTTTCAGAGTAGAGGAAAACATATTATGTAGGAAAAACAAAATGGGGCTCCATATTAGCACCCTCTCCTCTAATAATTAATATTACTATCAAAAAAGCACAAAAATCATAAAACATAATTTTGGCCAACTTTTAGTTCTTAATACCCCTCTGTGCAAAAGCAGAAATAAATTTTCGTTCCGGCTGTGGT